AAAGTTAAATAAATAAAATTAAAAATTAAAAAAATATTTTTAAAAAGTTGCTTAATCATTTTGTGCCTCAATTTCCTACTCTGTAAAATGGAAAATATTAATTCCAATAATGAGTTGATATAGTTAAGGCACTTAAAACTTTAATTTGTATATGAATAACCTGGATGGTGATTGTCAAAATGTAGATTTTAATTCAGTGTATCTCCATGAAGCTCAAGATGCTGAATTTCTAATAGGACCTGGGTGATGCCAATGCTGCTGGTCCTTGGGCCTCAGTCTGAGTAGCAAGGAAGTTCTCAGCTAAGACTGCCGCATTGTACAACCTCAGGGGGCATTCATGAAGCATACAGTGCAATGAAGAGAAGAGGCCCTTTAAGTACTCATTATTATTATTACTATTACTATTATTACTGTCGTGTTTTACTCTGACAATTAGGAATTCATAATTTATGTTTCTAAAGGTTGCAGTGATAAACCTTACATTTTTCAGAGTACAATCACAGATAAAGTCATTCCTTATGATAATGCTTTTATAAAATTGCAAGTAAATATTAGGTTGACCATTAAAGTCTGTGGATATGATTTGTAATGTTAAATTCAATTTCTCTACTCAGTTATCAGTACACTCTAATTCTGTCACATTCTATATAAATAAGGTCATATCCCTATCTATAGCTATAGTTAACAAATTAAAACTAATTTGTGGTAAATGCATGGTGGCATTTGAACTCTGCTTCAAAAAATGCATTGGACATTGCAGTTAGCTAGTCTTGGGGAAAATACTGACATGAAGCTTGTATCTATGGCCATACTACCCTGAACACTCCCGATCTTGTCTGATCTCGGAAGCTAAGCAGGGTCGGGCCTGGTTAGTACTTGGGTGGGTGACGTCAAGCTTGTGAACTAATAATAATTCATTATAAAAAACTAATTTAATTCTGAGTATATTACTGTGGTAAATAAAATTTTACCAAATGTGTAATCTTGATGGTAAAAAAATAATAGAGCTCTCTCTTTAAATTATTTTATATTCTGTTTAAGTTGCTCCAAAATTTTATTTTTGGACAGATGAAACGTGTGATTTCCTTTAAAAAATATTATACGTGGTTTGTATTAGAATGCTAGATAGAGACCAGATTATAAACCCGGAGGATCCAAGTTCTTAAAGAATTGACTGTGTTTTAATTTTAAACACACTAGGAGACAAAAGGGACTTTGCTTCGATCAAAAGAGGCTGTTTTGGCAAAGCAGTGTACAAGGGCGTAAATACACTAGTTTCTATATGAAAATCCCCTTTCTTTCTATAAAAGGCCAATGATTATCTTCATGCCTCAGTTTCCAAAACATGAAGTTGAGGCAACTGTAGCTAATGATCTGCAATACCTCTTCCATCTAAAATTTCTGCCATCTTTTTGTGTCTTGTTTCAAGGCAAATAGAGTAGAAAACAAGTTTCTTGGAACAGAAATCTAAAACCAATTTTTCCTTCGTTGTAGAGAAACAGATGAGTATGGGCTGAATACAAGTTAGCAGAATAAGGCTGCTCACCCTCCGAAGTGTGGCCATCTGAGAAGGGTACAAAGGCTGTTTGGTCTTCCAACTCCGAGCAGTTAGGAATTTGTACAAAACTAGGTACTTCTATTGCATGAAAATGCCAGTAAAGAACTTCTCTTAAAGCTGAGCATGGTTCATTAGGAAGTCATAGGTACAAGTGAGGTAGCGATAAATGTGCCAAGTTATATTTGCCAGCATTCTACACATCGCTGGACATTGTCTCTCTCTATAGGATGTAGTTGGCCACATCTCTTCAGAGCTCTCCCTGTTTGACTTCTCTGCTCTTTCTGATATTGTAGATCTACCTCCTTTTGAAACTCACTCCTCTTTCCTGATCCTTGGTCTCTCCACTCTCCATCTTCATTCTTTGGTTTTTTCTTTATTTTCTCCCTCCCCGAATGTGGGCGCTCTCCAAGATTCCGTCCTTTGAACTCTTATTGCTTTTCACTTTCATGATTTTCCCAGAAGAATTTCATTCAGTTCCATAGCCTCAAATTGTAACCTATCTGTAGATTGTCTCTCCTCCTGCTGCTGTTTTCTGGTGTAAATTTGCTTGCTACTGCCCAGACGAACTCTTTTTATGACCACACACTACTTCCAGGATCAAGCCCAGAGCACTTAAGGTGGTAGTTTCTACAGCCCCTGGCCTCTGTTCACTCTTCCGGCCTCATCTCTGACAATTTATCACTATCTTGCATGAAGTGGTGTAGATTACCTGACCTTGTTTCAGTTTTTATTCTTTAATGCATTTGACTTTCTCTAGCCTGTGCGCCTTTTTACGAGCTGTTGAGTCTACTGGGAACACATTTTCCTTTCTTCAGGTTCCGGCTTGAAAATCATACTTTCTAGTAATCTTACATGACTATCATCCCTGCACACACACACATCTCTGTTGAAAAAATTACCCATTACTGTATTTGCCATAATATTAACATGCTCTTTTGGTAACTCTATCTTTCACCTAGTGGAATCTAAGAGCTTTAAAGTCAAAGATTTATGCCTCCTTGTCTGTTGTTCTAGCCCCAAGTGTATGTGTACTGCTTCTAGAAGGTAGATAATCATAATATTTGTTGAATAAGTGAATAGACTCCTGATGAGCCGTGTCCTTTCATGCACGCATTTCTCAAACTTCTAGAAACTAAATTCATGAATTTGCCACCTGAAATTGCTTTTCTTCCTGTGGTTCTCTTTGTAGTGGTTAATGGTATCCACATTTGTCAAACTACAAGAGCTAAAAATCCATCTGAGAATGGTTTTTCAAGTTTTCTTTACTCGTTCCTAGTCTCCTGACTTTAATTCTGTATCCTCAATACACAGATATCAACATGATTGGTGTGTTTCTGTTTTTAAATAAATACTCAGCCTAAAGCATTTAGAAATCAGGACCCTTGCAATAAAATTGTGGATTTCTGTCTCCTCTTTTAAAAATGGCAGATTTGGTCATCCTAGGCTGAAATTCCTGATGACAGAAATTGAAATTGAAATTGAACTGATGACAGCAATTGAAACTAAGTAACAGCTTTCCCTACTAGAGAAGGTAGATCTTCCACATTTAATAAGCGTTCTCATTCAGTTCATGCCCCTCAGTCATGCTGCCTGCCTGGCCAGTAAATAGTGTCCCAAAACACCTGAGTGTATAAACCCAGCCCTACCCTACTTTCTACATTGCCAGGTTATTTTTAAATTAGATTTAATTATGTAATTCTTTTGCCCAACACTCTTCAGTGGCTTTCTTTTTTCCCACTTTCCATAATATCCAGTCCATATAACAAAACACTCAGAAAAAAGAATATGGGGACCCAAACTAGCGCTTCTCTTGGGCAGGTCAAGTAGAAGAATGAGTTGACATCATGAAGACTGAAGAACTGGAGCACATATATTTCTTGTTTAAAGAGAGTTCCACTTCTTCTGATTCTTGCCATATGTGTCTGAGATCAGAGTTGATAGATACTCCAATTATTTTTTGAAAGTTGTTGGAAATATCAGTTTTTATGGAAAGTTTTTTTTTTAATTTAAATGCCAATCACTTCTAATTCTAATCAAAACAAAATCTTGTGCAACTCAAACAAAACATAACAAAGAACTATTAGTTTGCAGCCCCCGGCCCTAAACCAAGATTTCTCATGAAGGGTATGAAGGAATCAGTTGGAGAATTTGTCAAATGCACATTTAACAAATATTCAGTAATTCACAAATTATGCCCAAAAATCTGCATTTCATCAAATGGTCTTCATTCTGATACAGGTGGCCCAAACACTGGACTGAATCATCCTAAGTTTCTGGTTAAAAACAATGGTATCTTCCTTTATTCTCCAATAGTACTTTATTAGTGATCTTTTAGTTAAAAATGAAAAAAAAATGTGTATAGAAAGATCACTCTGTCACCAGGTGAGTCTGGCTAGGATTTTCCTCAATATCTTTGAAGAGGGACTTTTGTGCACTACTGTTCTAAGCTGGCTCTCAATTTTATAGGGTCAGAGACTTACCTTTGTTTACTAAGTGTATTAGTCTGAATTAACTGAATTATGCTGCAGTAACAAGTCTCAGCTTAAAACATGTTTTATTCTCTCTTATTGCTTATGACCCGACACTGTTCACTGAGGTTGGATGGGTGTGCAGGGTTTGGGCTCTCCGACACATCATCCTCCCTGAGGGTCTCAAGATGATGGACTTTCGCCATCTAAAATATTGCTGGTCACGGTGTCAGGGAAAAGACATGGGATCAGGAACATACTGTCGCTTAGAGCTTCGGCCAAGACAATGTCACTTCTCAGATTCTTCGCTCAAAGGCAGGCACATCAACATGTTTAACTTCCAGGGGGCAGAGCAGTACGACTCTACAATGTACTCAGAAGTAGAACTGAAGACATTTGGCAGCTTTAAGATTACCATTCATAGCAAGAAGTACCCATTTCTCAGGGTGTAACTCATCTTCGATAGTGACAGATAATGGGCACTGCTTGATGATACAAGTCATATCTTGTTTCAAGATATGATTCAGAAACTATGTTTTGTGGCCAACACGCTTAGTGTGTTTATGATTTGATTATTATGCTTTTTTGACAACTTGATTTGCTATGCCTTCAAAGCCTTCTTCCCCGACTCCTAAGCATAAAGAGCTTTGCTGTTTGGGCTGTGAAACCAGAGCCTGAATTTCAGGTATTTAAGAGGAGATGGTCTTTGAAATGTTAGCCTGAAATCTCAAACCTCCATGACAATAATTGCCAGGGAAAGTGGAATTAAATGGATGAGGAGCAGAGGCCACATCTTTCTAGTTTGCTACTATGTCCTCAGTGCCTGGCAGAATACCTAGAATTCACTATTTGTCAGTTGACTCTGTACGTGAATCCAATGCTCCAACATAAAAATACACAGACGCATTTATACTTTGGATAGCTCCTTATTTGGGGTTCTCATATACAGTTTAGGCATTTAACAATAAGTTTTAGTGCTCACTACAGCACATATACTAAAATTTGAATGATACAGAGAAGATTAGCATGGCCCTTGTGCAAGGATGACACGTGAATTCATGAAGTGTTCTATATTTTTTAAAATAGCTAAACAGCAAGGTCTTACTGTATAGCACAGGGAACTATATTCAATATCTTGTAATAGCCTGTAATGAAAAAGAATATGAAAAGGAATATATATGTATGTATAACTGAATCACTATGCTGTACACCAGAAGTGAACACAACATTGTAAACCAACTATACTTCAATACAAGAAAAAGTTAAAAATCTATTACTTTAAAAACTCTTTCATGATTTTTAAGATGACTTTTCTCCGATGTACATTTTTCACATATACTGTTTATATTTTCTTCTAGGCATTATAAAGTTCAATTTGTACATATAACCTTGTTATCCATCTGAAATTTATTAATGAGATACAGATATAAATTTATCACAGAATTGTTTATTGTGTATTATTTCTTTTCTGCAGTGATTAGTGATCTTATTATATATTAAACATCTTTAATAAGCCCTGTTTAAAAAAAAAGTGAATTTTATCTTTAAATGCTGGTGATTTGGACCTCCAGCATTTCTTACAGTGAGGCACTCTTCTCAGAAACAATGTTGATTGATAAGTGGATTCAGTTGCTGTGCTGAACCTTAAATTCAACAGCACATATTATTAGAACCATTAGGATGAGCTTGGATTTACTATAGTGAAATGGACTCATTCAGCGGCCTTTGCTGTTGCTGAATTGGGATGAACACATGAGTGACACTTGTGAACCAGAGGCCCCATGGGTCCTGTTGTCTGTAGGGCATTCGGGACTGCATTCTAACACCGAAATGAAAGCACTGTAAGAGCCACTAGTTGCACGTGATAGAAACAAAAACAAGACGACAAAAATGTATTTCAAAAGCCCGAGAAGCATTAAGTCTAAATGTTTTTCTATGTTGAGATTATGCAAAACCATTATTAGTTTCATACAGACTATTGGAATTTTTTAGTTGTCTTGCAGAGGTTATCTAATAACATTATAAAATGATGTGAGTCATAATAAATCCGTAATAATAGTACCTGCCATGTTTTGAGTGCCAGGTAATATGCTAAGCACTTCACCTAGGATTTAATATTCACTATTAGTCCCACAAGGGAGACAGGTAGTTTGATGAGCCCCACTTTTTCTTCTCATTAAGAAAATGAGAGCTGGAGACCAAGTATTTTCCCTTTGTCACATAATTATTTTGTGATAGAATGAGCATTCCAACCCATGCATGTTTCTTTAGAGCCTTTATCTGATAAATCAGGAATTAAGAACCCCCAAATCCAACAGGGGTGGTCAATAGCAATGAGAAAACCTCTGCTCTGGGAGCCTCTGGATAAGTCCCTCTGAAAAATGAAGACTGGTTTGCAATCCCACTTATTTATTTGTTTGGGGGGGGTCTCTTTATCACATTTCTTGGTCAGCCTTGACTTGGACATATGTCCTGGATTTGGATCTGGGTTCAGATATGAAGCAACAGAAAGGACATTGATTAGTAGAAAATCTGTTAGGGCATTGGTGAAGTAAGGCCAGAATCTTTGACTGTCATTCTGCTGATTTTACCCCTTACTTGATCTGAATCAAAGCTTTTGCTGTTATTATGTCTAAGAATAGCTAATAAGGACACAAGAAGATCATGTGTTTTATGTAAATAATTCCAACATTGCTTGATATGCAATCAATGAGTACTTAGATTATTTGCAGAATTAATAATGCAGTGATGCGATTAGTCATACACATTTCAGCCCTGACTGACTTGTTGTGAGTCGCATTTAAAGAACATGGTGCATGAAAGAGGGATATGTCTATGAAAACCAAAGAAATGAAGGAATATTAAATGCAAACATTCTTTCTCCTAGATGCATTTCCTTTGTCCCCATGTGACCCATGCTAACCTTACGAGGTAGTATGGTATACCCAGGAACCATATCAGGTTTGGAGCCTGATAAACCTAGGTTTGCATTCTGGTGTTCGCACATTCTAATTGTATGTTTGTTTTTTTTTTACACATTAGTTATCTTCTTTGAGCCTCAGTTTTTTATAGGTAAAATAGATATAAAACAATGAAAATTCCTTAGAATGTTAAAAAAGATTACATGAAATGTTGTGTGTAATAGTCCCATAAAAGTACCTGGCATGTGGTAGGTGTTTGGTAGTCAACTTCCCAATGGCCCTTTGATTCTTGCTAATATGTCATAACATGGAAATTTGTTCACAGTTTAAGAAACAATGAGTTCAAATGAGAGGTTCTTTAAAAACAGCAGATGGGTGGTTGTTTTTGTAAGGGAATTGATAAAATCGGATGATTTTTAACTCCTTACCCTGGGGCTAGCATGATTCAACTCCTTTTGGGGCTGCCTTTCCAGTGGAAGCTTGTAGCAGAATCAAACTTTTAGTTTGTCAGAATCTGTGAACTGCATGATTTTTCTTATCACCATTAGAATTAAATGAAAGGAAATTCCTGGCTTTCAAGATTATGTCTCTGGAAGTGTACAGAATGAAACAGGGGAATAAGGTGCTTCTGAGAAAGGATGAGTAGGCAAGTAAACGGTAGTCTATTTTCTTTTGGCTTTTCTTTAGAAATTCAAATTCCCATAAATATGTTGTATCTCCTGTGTATAAATATAATTAAACATTAATGATATAACAACTTAAGGGATTTTATTAGGCTTCTGATCATAATTACTTATGATTTCTTCAAACCTTAAAAAAGATAAATTGGGAGTTTGAGATGTGCAAATACTAACTACTATATATAAAATAGATAAAAAACAAATTTATTCTGTATAGCACAGGGAACTATATTCAATATCTTGTAGTAACCTATGATGAAAAAGAATGTGAAAACAATTATATTTATATTTAACAATTATATGTATGTTTAATAATAATGAAACATTATGCTGTACACCAGAAGTTGACTCATGGTAACTGACTGTACTTCAGTTTAAAAAAAAAAAAGTAAAAAAAAAGATAAATGTTTTAAATGATTGAAAGTGTTAGGCAGTAGACAATTATTAGGGCTGTTACTGTGGTAGGTAGAATTCTAAGATATCCCTCAAGATTCCTGCTGTGTGTTTTTTTAAGTCCTGTCTAATCCCTGGGACTGCGAATGCATCAGTCCCGCGATTAGGTTTTGCTTTGCGGCACTCTGCCTTTAAGAAAGGGAGGTTACTCAGGAGGGCCTGACATAATCAGATGGACCCTTTAAATCTGGTTCTAAGGATCTGAGATGGAGTAGTCAGCGAGATTTGAAACATGAAAGGCACTTGACGTGAAGGAGATTCTCCGTTGCTGGAGAGGACCATGTAGCCGGGAGTGTTGACAGCCTCTAGGAGATGAGCCGTGGCAGCCAGCAAGGAAATTGGGACCTTATACAGTGTTATATTATACAGTGTGAGGAGCTGAATTTGGTCAACGATTTGAATGAGCTTGGAAGCTCAGCCTTCCCCAGCGTCTCCAGAAGGGAACCCAGCCCAGTAGACACCTTGATTTCAGCCTCATACCCTGAGCAGAGGACCCAGTTGTGCCAAGCTCTGCTTCCTAAAGGGATGTTGTTTCAAGTGCTTAAGTTTGTAATAATTTGTTGCACATTATAAAACTAATACAACTGCTGCTACTAACTAAACACATATCTTTTTTTTAGTGTTTTGTCTATGCCAAGCACAGTGTACCCTACAGACATCATTTCATTTAATCCTTTTTTTTTTTTTTACTTTTTTATATAGTCTGTTTACAATGTTGTGTGAGGTTCTGGTATGTAGCATAAAGTTTCAGTCACACATATACATATATATATTCATTTTCATATTCTTTTCCATTGTAGGTTACTACAAGATATTGAATATAGTTCCCTGTGGTATACAGTATAAATTTGCTGTTTATCTATTTTATATATAGCAGTTAGTATCTGGAAATCTCGAACTCCCCATTTCGCCCTTCCCACCCCTTTCCCCACTGGTAACCATAAGTTTGTTTTCTATGGCTGTCAGTCTGTTTCAGTTTTGTAAATAAGTTCATTTATGTCTTTGTTTAGATTAACATATAAGTGATAGCATATGGTATTTTTCTTTCTCTTTCTGGCTTACTTCACTTAGAATGGCGATCTCCAGTTCCATCCAGGTTGCAGCAAATAGCGTTATTTAATTTTTTCTTATGGCTGAGTAGTATTCCATTATTTCTTTTTCCAGTCATCTGTTGATGGACATTTTCATTGTTTCCATGTTTTGGCTATTGAAATAGTGCTGCTGTGAACATTGGGGTGCATGTATCCTTTTGAATTAAAGTTCCCTCCAGATATATGCCCAGGGGTGGGATCGCTGGATCACATGGCAAGTCTATTTTTAATTTTTAATGAATCTCCATGCTGTTTTCCACAGTGGTGGCACCAAACTTCATTCCCACCAACAGTGTAGGAGGGCTCCCTCTTCTCCACACCCTCTCCAGCATTTATCGTTTGTGGACTTTTTGATGGTAGCCATTCTCTCTGGTGTCATTTAATTCTTACAAGCACACTGTCAGATTGGCATTATGAGCCCCATCTGTGAGAATATTGCAGCACATACAATTTAAGTGATGTGCACAGGATCACAAAATTATTACTGTGCAACTCAGATTTGAACTTAGATTTCTCTGATTCCAAGTTTTGGTATCTAACTTGCTCCTTAATTGTGTAGCAATAAACATTTTATAGAGGTGATAACAGGCCATCTACAGGAAGAGCTATAACATGAATGTGACACTTGGTCAAAAAAATGTCTTATTTATGAACCCTTAGCAAGAGGTAAAGATATTTGGTTTCAGTTTTTATGTGACATGATTACCAGCTGTGGGTGTTATACTTTTAAACCATTATATGAGAATGTACTTTCCCCTTAAAATTGTTACAAAAAAGTTGAATTATATCCAACAATGCACTTTAGATGTCAGTTATGGCTCAAAGTTGCCATTAATATAAATAAAATTATATATTCTAAAATGACCTACTTTTAAAGTGCATTATTGATACATTCATAACATTTTATTTTTTTATCACCCTTGCCTATATTGA